ATGTTGTCTCTTTTTAAAGTTTGTACACTGCTTTAGCCAAACGCGCAGTCTATATGTATATTATACGTCTATAATTGTATTGTAAACAACATAGAAGATTATAGGTTTGTTTTCACTGGTGAACTAGTGCAGTAAGCTAGAATGAGAAAAAATATCCTTGTTTTACTCTAATTTATTGTACTAGTTCACCATGCAGTGTAGGAACAGAAAACAAGCCTTATAAAAGATTGCAAAAATTCTTGCCAATTCAAGTTTTTTTCTGACGCGTTCCTATGATAATGCGTTGCATTAACCTTTGTATTTATCGGAATTTCCATCTAGTAAATTGAAAATCATATCCGGCTTTATCCATATTAATAAAACGACTTGGTTACCGAACGAATGTTTTATTATAGTATACATACATGTATGATATATATTGGACATATTCTAATGATGTAATAATTAATAGTCTTTAACTTATTTTATCATGAGTATCAAAATTATAAGATTTTAGTCGATTAAATTCATATCGTATATAATTTGTGTGTGAGAGATAAAATTAATTAATTTTAAACAATACAATTTAAAAAGCTTCTTTTTTTAATGCTATCAATATATGCTATATAAGAAATTGATAATTAAAATGTGATTTTTTGCTACTTATAATAAAATTAATGCAGCAAGTCAGAATTAATTAAGTACGTCATATGGACTACGTTTCCAACGAGGGTCAGAGTCGGGCTAGGGTTGGTTATATAAAAAATTTTAAGATTAATGAAGTTCGATGGACCAAATAAGGCTCGGTGGAAACGACAAGAGTCTTGTTATAGGTTCCTATAGTGTTACCAACAGGTTAAATAGTAATATTAAGTAGCTTTTTGATTTACCTCGATTCTGTTTCACCTTAAAATTTTATAATTAAAATTAAACCAACAATCACCTATAAACGACCGACAAACGATTTGCATAAATAATTTAAAAAATCGAAGTTAGTGAAAACTCGCCTTTACCTTCAACTGTGATTCATCAATAACAGATAATTTTTGTTTTTAATAGAAAATACTGAATCAAACGCTATAATTAGACCAACAATCATCAGCGAACGATTGCGCATCGATTTAATCGGTTTTTGAACGAAAATGAGATTTTTCCGGCTATCTTCACGCTGAGCACATCATCAATTGACCGATTCAAAACGAGATCTTTCGATTGGTTGCTGCAGTAAAAAAGAAAAGTTCTATCGCTTGCAAACCCGCCGTAACCGTCGTGTGAGATGTGAGGCCTCCACATAGACATAGTATATCTAGACTGCTGGTTGGCGGAGTGGGGGTAGAGCTCACGTAGAAAAGGATGCACTCTGTTTCGTGTCTGTGCGTTCTCTCTCGCACACGCGAAAAGAGGGGATAAGGGAAGCAGTTACTAACCTGTGCGAGAGAGAACGCACAGACACGAAACAGAGTGCATCCTTTTCTACGTGAGCTCTACCCCCACTCCTGAAATTTGAGAGAACCAGCAGTCTAGATATACTATGTCTATGGGCTTCCATTTACTTTTTGAGGTTATGTAAGTTTTTCGCTCTCTTCCACGTGACATGTGATAATTTGGATCCCTAGTAGAATTAAAACCTCAGAGTAAGATTATGCATTATTAAAATATATGTAAACAGCACGTATTATAAAAGTATTAATTTAAGAAAAATACATAATATATACAAGATTTGTATACATTAAATAAAATATCTTAAATTGATTTTATGAGTGGTCGCAATAGGCGATTTTCGGTAATTGTTTGATGCATGTACCAAAGTGTACACTTGGCGTCGTGAACGGCGCTTTCACACCTGAAAATAGCCGTTAAGTTCAATATCCGATAGAAAAATTAATTATATTAAAATAAACTTTTCTATTGGACATCTTTTGGCGGCTTCAGATGGATTTTTTAAGCGTTTTGTCTTGCTCATATAAAATAGAATGTTTCTGTACGCAAAGAGCACATTGTAGATCAAGCTTCTATCATATAAAAGATATGCACACAAGTTGACAAGTAGAGGGTAAAACACTTGTATGTTAACGGCGAGATGTGGTGTAGATTGAATGTGTATTGATTGTATATTGCGACTGACAGAGGGTTAATACAGTAAGTGTATTCTACATTGTATTTGATAAAATTACTTTTTACATATTGTCGATTATCTAGAGCAGGATGAAGGACAACGATCTCGTTGGGTTTGCCGACCCAAATGCAGTCAGCGACAAAGATGAAGATAACGAAATTGCTAATATTAAGAAAAAGGTTTCGAAGAAATCTGGCGGATTTCAGTCCATGGCTCTTAGTTTCCCAGTGTTGAAGGGGGTCCTCAAACGCGGTTACAAATTACCAACACCTATACAAAGAAAGGTTATTACAAACTAAAAGAATGTCTTCTATAAGTATGGATAGAATTCGCTTTAATAGGATAACTTTCTTAATAGGATACATCTTGACTGATATTGACACAAAGTGTATTTTCTTGTAGACTATACCGTTGGCCCTCGAGGGAAGAGATGTAGTAGCCATGGCTAGGACCGGTAGCGGAAAGACCGCTTGCTTTTTAATCCCTCTGTTCGAGAAACTCAAGGCGAGGCAAGCCAAGACGGGCGCGCGTGCCCTGGTACTGTCGCCGACGCGCGAGCTGGCGTTGCAGACGTTGAAGTTCATAAAGGAGCTGGGAAGGTTCACGGGATTGAAGGCGGTGGTGATACTGGGTGGCGATAGTATGGACAATCAGTTCAGTGCAATTCACGGAAATCCCGACATTATTGTAGCTACCCCGGGTAGATTTTTGCATATATGCGTGGAGATGGATCTGCAGTTGAAAAATGTTGAATATGTTGTCTTCGACGAGGCTGACAGGTAATGGGTTTTTCTTTTTTTCTCATTTTCAACCGTTGCGTTTAGGGCGAACTGGTAAACGTGGGACTGTTTTGCAGATTATTTGAGATGGGCTTCGGGGAACAGATACAGGAAATTGTGAACAGATTACCGGAGTCACGTCAAACGCTGCTGTTTTCTGCCACTTTGCCGAAGGTCCTAGTAGACTTTGCGAAAGCCGGTCTCAGCGATCCGATTCTGCTTCGTTTGGACGTTGAGAGTAAGCTGCCCGAGGGATTGACGTTATCCTTTATCACCTGCCGCCCCGAAGAGAAATTAGCCGTACTGCTGAGTTTGCTAAAAAAAGTTATTAAGCCCGAATCGCAGACAATTATATTCGCGGAAACTATGCATCATGTAGAATACATTCATCAGGTGATCACCGACGGATAATTATCTTCTAAATATGCATGATGTATTCTGAAAATACTTTTGTAATCGATATCAGACGTGCGAAACGATGTTTATAGGTACTGGATAAAGCGGTTATATCTAACACCTTTATTTATTCAAATCTGGATCCCTCCGCGCGCAAAATAAACGCAGCTAAATTTCAAATTGGTAAAGCGAGAGTTCTCATAGTGACGGATGTTGCTGCTCGAGGAATAGATATACCGCATCTCGATTGCGTGATCAATTTTAATTTCCCCGCAAAATCTAAGCTCTTCGTACACAGAGTAGGTATGTTTTTCCGTGGTTGGTTTCAATTACTTTCAATTGTCGTTATTAAAACACGAAAGCACTTGGCTGACTATATTGACTATAATCTTTTATTCCGCAGGGCGATGTGCTCGAGCCGGGCGTGCTGGAACGGCATACAACATCGTGAGCTCGGACGAATACCCTTATCTCTTAGATCTGCATCTTTTCCTCGGGCGCCCTTTAAAAATTGTGCCGACCGCGGGAACCACCGAAGACGTAGAATCCGCCGTAGGGAAATTGCCACAGGCTATGATAGAGGAGGAATTAGCTGAATTAATAAATTGGCACAACACCTCTACCGATCTGGTAAACATATCTCCGATACATAAATTAATATTGCTGATACTCATTTTTTTCGTTGTATTAAATGAATGTTTGTGTCCTCAGACGAATATGCGAAAAGTGTGCAACAACGCCTATCAACAGTACATCAGATCGCGACCAGGCGCTTCGGCGGAAAGCGTCAAAAGAATTAAGGAGCTTTGCATAAACGAAGCCGGAATTTTACCGCAGTATGCTGATGTTTCTCATACAGCTGCGGATATAATATCCAAGATGAAAAACTACAGACCACAGGGAGTGAGTACGGTGCTTCGTATAAAATTATATTTCAGTTTTAACCCGAGTTATATTTCAATTTTAATAGCTAAATCTTTTATGTGTAACAGACAGTATTTGAAATTGGCGCGAAAACAAATTCGACTGACTATCAAGTGATGAAGACGAAACGAATGTTTCACAAGGAGAGCATTCTTAATTTCCGCAAAAAAATGGAGGAACGTAAAACCGATAAAATCAATATGGCGTCAGGTAGATATTATGAGCGAGCAAGATTACATACCACATGTGTGTAATAATGTTCATGTAGAACTATTTAATTTTCATAGAATTGTCCCAAAAAGTCAATCTACCATCCAGTAACGCGGAAGAAATTAATGCTGCGTTCAGTACAGTGATAGTTCCGAAAAAGAGAAATAGCGACGATTTATACAAAATTTCAAAGAAGAAAAAGCGTCAGGCAAAACGGGATGAAGAATATTATATACCTTATTCTGCACCAGATAAGCATACGGAAGATGGGTAAGAGATCGCTCACATTGTGTGTGTGTGTGTGTGTGTGTGTGTGTGTGTGTGTGTGTGTGTGTGTGTGTGTGTGTGTGCGCGCGTGTTTGGCATAGCTTGTCCTTTTTAATTATTATTGTGGAAGTATTAAAATTGACTTAAACATTTATTTTTAACTTTATTAATATTAAATATATAATTAAATCACACATGAATAAATATTTTAAATTTGCAATTATTTGTATTCGATATTTATTTGCCTTTCAGTTTAGCGGTTAACACATTTGCCACTGAGGCTGATAAGGCGCAGATGGATTTAACGGCAGATAACGAAGAGGGTCGACATCTTCAAACGCAGTTGAAGAAATGGGATAGGAAGAAGAAGAAAATGGTCACCGTCGAGAGAGTATGTGCATTAGTTTACACGTTACATAATCTTATTATAAAGTATAGATTTATTTTCTATATTGTGCCGTCAGGATCCGAAGGCGAAAAAAATACGCACTGAATCAGGTGTATGGATACCAGCTACGTATAAAACAAATCGTTACAACGTGTGGAAGGAGAAGAGTAAGGTCGGTGAAAACGATAGCGAGGATGATAGTGAGGAAGAACCTTCACAAGTGAAAAATTGTAAGTCGACGTAATCGCGTCAATTGTAAAATTTACATATTCTATTTAAAGATGATTTAATTTAAACAACATATTCAGTCGATGGGTCTAAAAACATTCGTTTTATAAATTTCTATTTTTATAGTGCGTATATTAATTCGTTCCAAGAGTATTACTCATGAGAATAATCATGCTTTATTTGCACTTTAGTACGGACCGCAGCAAATACGCATTGGGCGCGGCACAACCAGAAGCTCAAGAGCAAAGTTAAAGTAGAGAATGAACTACGAAGACCGGAACAAATTTTGAAGGCACGCGAGTTGCTGGAGAGAAAACGCCAGAGGAACGGCAGGAGAAAGAAAGGCCAGAAGAACCGTAGAAAACATTAAGGAATAAAGAAACATTAAGATGTTTACGTTGTCCAAAATACATTATTGCAATACTGTCATTTTGATTTGCATTGATTTCTCTCTGTTAATTATCCATTAATTTCTCTTCTCTCACTATTCCCGTTACTCATATGTGCCGCATAATCAACGTACCCACGTTCGATTGAGGATGCGAGTGAAAGGTAGAAGATGCTGCGCGTAGCAGAGATAGTTGCGAATTATATACGACATCGGCTAAAAATAATCGTGAACAGTTTGATAATATCTTTCGAGAGCGCAGTGACCTTATAAGCAAGTGTTATGCGATTTAGGCCGTTTGGCCTTGCATCATCATTATTATCATCATTATCATCATCATCATCATCATCATCATCATAAACAACGTAGTGACTGCGTTGCATAAGCGAGGTGTTGTGGAGCCTCCTGTAAGGCGAGGTATTACGAAGACTTCGCTGAGGCCCGCCTTTGCGCGAAGCCTTAAAAAAATTGCCGTCGAGGTAGCGCGCGACTTCTCGCTCGCCGAGCCGCGAAGAAAGGGTGAAAAAAAATTGGATCGATGCGATCGTATAAATTTCGTCGAGAGGCGATCGTCGGAGGCGGAAGCCGACTTTTCTCCGTGCGCCGCGAGTGTCACGGCATGACGAGGCGGAAAATCCGTTTGGCCGCTTTCCACCCGTAAATTAGGAAAATCGTAGGAAAATTTTCAGCACAGCAAAGTCCCACGTGCTCTCCTCAGAGATACTCTGCGAAATGTAAATAACATATACCCTGCGTTTATATTGTTTTACACATCTGTGACATGACAACGGATCGACATTATTGTATCCTCCGATTATCTGAAATGCATCGCGTTTATCGCGCCAACTTTTCCGCCGCGTCCGCCGCGCGACGACGTTTTGAATAATTAATTACTCATTATCTATTGCGAAAATTGCAAAATGGTACAGGACTTTTCGACTCGGTCTAGTCCGCTCTATCTGCACACCAAAAAAGTCCCCATTATTCAATGACACCCTATATTTTACATTTAAAAAATGGGTATTTATTAAAACAATTACATAGAATATTGAGTCTTCCTTTTAAATATGAACTCACAAAATTTTATACATATGGTTTTGTCTCTAACACTTATTCGAATGCTTGTTGGAATCATTTGAATAAATAAAATAAAAGCACAGAACAGATGATTCATTTTGCACAAGTAGCAAATAACAAAAATGTAAGACACTTACCTTACGATTTCTCTGCCGTTGCCCGATGCCGCCTAGACAGGACAGGAAGTAAAGAACGTTGCTTACTGCATTTCACGGTATTTTACATCGCGTACGGGAGTGTCCGAAATTTCGCGCGATTGATTTTCGTGAGTGAGTGCTGTGAGTGTAAGTGCAACAAGAAAATCTGAGAGGAGGAGCAGGTCTAGGCGGCATCGGGCAACGGTAGAGAAATCGTAAGGTGTCTTACATTTTTGTTATTTGCTAATTGTGCAAAATAAAGCATCTGTTCTGTGCTTTTATTTTATTTATTCAAATGATTCGAACGTGGATTCAAATAAGTGTTAGAGACAAAACCATACGTATAAAATTTTGTGAGTTCATATTTAAAAGAAAGACTTTCAGTATTCTATATAATTATTTTAATAAATACCTATTTTCCAAAATATTAAATATAAAGTATATTTAATACAATAGTCTGGATTTTACATAATTAGTCCATAATAATCGTATACACTTTTGTATTGTTACAGTTTAACATGTATAGTTAGCGATGTGCAACTTTGTTGTTGCGACTCGTATCAGTGACATATTACTTTTTATTTTAAAGTGACGTTGCGCATACAATTACTTCTTCGCGTGTATACAAATTCTTAAAAATATACAATGCTTGACCACAAACTGCGCGCGCGAAGCGCGCGTTTTATCGTTTCTAGTCTAATATAAAGAGGCCGCGCTATCTCGTCGCGGAGATTATATATAGAAAAAAAAGAAAAAAAAAGTTGTACAATGCAAGTAATTGAGATATCGATCTCGGCGGTCGCGGGCAGTCGCATCGACTATTATTAACAGTTTATTAGCGCGCTTATGGTCGATCGGCTCTCCTATCTGTGTCATAGCGAGCCCTTTCTCCCTTTGTGCCGCGTATGCCCCGTTTGTGATCTAGAAAACAACCCGGTGTGCGAACGCGCGTCGTAATTAGTTAGGCGAGGCTGTCGGAGAGCGTAACCGGATCCGCGGAAGGCACGGAGGCTGCTTCGATTTCAAATTCTCTCGAGATCATCCGAGATAGCCCCCCCCCCCCCCTCTCTCTCTCTCTCTCTCTCTGTCTGTCCCTCTTTCCCGAGTAATAGATAGCTTGTGCAGTATGTGCATATTTCTTTTCTCCGCCTAAATACCGTTAGGTTGTCACTGTAGGTGCTAGCGAAGAAAAAAAAACAACTCGGACGTACGTTGGTCTCTCTGTGTTCTGTGATCGTTTCTCTCTTCTCTCTCTCTCTCTCTCTTTCTTTCTCTCCCTTTCTCCCAATCCCCGCATAATGACAATCCTAGACTTTTAGACCTGTCTAGCTCGTCTATTTGCCCATTCGTCTCCTTCGAATGTAGCATGCGTTCGGAGCTCGACCTTTCCCCTACCCTGCGGCTAGAGCCCGGAGAACGAGGGGAACATCTGCCGCAACGGCGCGACCGACCCTCCGCTCCGGCCCAAAATAGAGATTATTATGATAGAGAGCATCTGCAGCGCGCGCGCGGATACAGGGACGGTGGGACGCGGATGACTCCCTCAGCGAAGTGTCGGGAGGAAGAGAGAAGTAAAAAAAAAAGAAGAAGAGAAGAATACGTCGCGCGCGGGCGCGCCGGGCTTGATTCATTTGGCCGAGGAGAGCCGTATATTTTCGTGCGTGTCGCGACGCGTGCATATACGCTCGCATCCCCTCGACCTTCTCGCGGCGCGCGGAACGCAACCGTCGTGTATCACGATTACACGCTTCGCCCGAAATCTTCGTAGAAATTGGCACAAGGTCTCCTTCGGTCCTTCGCTCTCTCTTCTTCTTCTTCTTCTTCTTCTTCTCTATCTCTCTCTTTCCCTCTTTAAATCGTCCGATCTTGGGAAGGAGCCGCGGGACAATTTATCGCGAGCCTCTGCCTCGGCCTCAATTATCCGCTTAGTGCATCATTTGCGAATTACGGGTATTAACGGCGCAGATTGCGACGGGATTCTCATGCGGGAGTACTCGGGGGATTTATGTAACCGGGGATTCTTCGCGCGTACGAGCGAAAAGGAGTGGAAAAAAACATTCGCTAATGTGATATACAGAGCGAGCCAAAAGTCACTGCCCACCCAGAGAGCCGGTATGCTCATAGCAATGGGAATAAAATGACAGCAACTGACGCTGGGCTCTTCGCTAGGAATGTGGATTCAATGTTTGAGTGATTTAAGTACAGCTAGCGCAATGCCAACATATTGTCGTAGTTAAGTGCACAGCTAAAGGGCATACTGTCCGGGTTTCGAAATTTTGGTACTATTTTGACACTTTTAAGGATAATTTACATCTACTTAGCTGATCTATGCACCTACGTAGACCAGCAATAACCTACTTTGATGATATTATATTTTTTTTACTTCTCCCTTGAATCTTTAGTTCTAAAAATTTACTTCAGCTCCTACTTAAAAGGACCTACTTCACTTCTACTACCTAAATTGGCAAAAGTAGACATTTCCGACACTATCGGTTTAGTAGGAGTAAATTTTGTAGCTCGATCTCTTTTACTGTGTTAGGTAAAGATAGGGAAACAGTTTTGGAAAACATCGTTACAAGCAATTCTGTGATCCACTCAACAAATAGTTGAGCATTGAGTGGATAGTGACTTTTGACCCACCCCGTATACACGCGAATAAAGCAACATGTAAATTTTTTTTCTCTATAAATATTTGCGGCGACCTCCACTTCCCCATAAGGAATGTCGCGCGGCTGAGACGAACGTGTGCGTCCCGGAGAAATTCGGAAACGAAACCTCGGGTCCCTCCGATAACGCTCCGACACTTTGCCTCCCTCGTACTTCCCCCTCGTGTGTCGCCATTGTTATATTTACGATCAACGACCGGGCCTAAAGATTTCATTGAGACAATCAACGTCGTGACGGACAAGCGCGATAACAGGCCCTGCCGCGGCCCGTATCTCTCCGTATATCCTCCCGAGCGGGCGGCGGAGAGACAAACGCTACAGCCGGCCGCGACGCGACGGCCACGTTACCACGTGTTAATATATTACCGCGCGCGCGGTGCCGGGGGAACACGTGTCCGAGCCCCGGGCCGCCCGTTATCCGCTCTCTCCCGACATCGGTATGCGCGACATTAATTCATGCCCGCGCGAATGCATACACACGGACGTGTTCTCATTCTTACGTCGGCATGCGCAGCCGACGACAACGACGTCGTCGACGAAAACAATCGTCGGGGAAATGGGAGGCGGGGCGGGACGGGGAGGGAAGGGAAGGGAGCAGCGGCGTGACAAAGGAAGTGGGCGATGTGTTGGTAGTCTCCTCCGCGCCGCGGAGCTTAGGGATCCCGCAACGAGAATAGAGCTTAGAATTGCAGACACTGTATATGAATGTTGTACTTCAATCTTGGACTCTGAAATCGTTGAACTCATGACGGGAATATAATACGACGGGAGTAAGGGGGACGGAAACGTAGATCGCGGAGTATCGCAGAGGCACTCGGGATCGTGCGGCTCTTGTGTGTATATTTTGTTAGGATACTACCATCCCATACAGCACAGAAAGTTAAAATAACGTTACTGAAACGTTGCAATGTTGAATGTTGAAGTATAAATATGTTTTCAACGTTCGAATCCAAGTTCATTTTTGTACATTGATTCTTTGTGTTGCTGCACGGTTAAACCAATATTGAACAGATGATTATTTTTTAATACTCAATTGCGATTCGTTGCTATTATGTGTCTATTTGTTTTTTTTTATAAATGAAATGGCTGCATATCGAAGAAAACGTAGAGCACCCAGTATCCGCTAAATAATGCTGGAATATTTATAAAATGTTCCTAAAT